GCCCCGATTCACCTCAGAACAATCCCAAACCCTGGCCCCGATTCACCCCTGAATCCCGCCTCCATTTCACAGCAGAGCCCCGAACCCCAGACCTTAGCCGTGATCCCTCCTAGAAACCCAGCCCCCAGCCCCCTCGGCTCACCCTAACCCCCGGCTCTCTCCAGCCTGTCTCGGGGGCAAACTGGCACGTGCCGAGCGCCGTTCCCCGGCCAGGGCGTGGGAGCTTTGGGGCCCAGGCCACGGGGCGAAGACTTTACCTCGAACGCTTGCACAGGGATGCTCTTGGCTTTGCGGGAGGAGGGCTGGGCCAGGATAGACTGGGCCGTGGAGCTCATGTCCTGGAGAGCTTTCAGAGCCTGGCAGGGGGAGAGAATTGACACGGCCTGGTCACACGCGGCACCTGCCGGGTCCCCCGCTCCCCTCAAAGCCTTTGGCCTGGGCGGGGTCTCCCGGTTTTAGCCCTGCCCCTCCCCACCTCCTCAGCTGTCTCTGGGCCGCGCCGTGGGCTGCAGCTGGTTCCCCTGGAGTTCAGCGGCTCCCCCGCGCCCCCCGTCACCGTGACGGGAGGAAAAGACGTGGGAGGCGGGAGATCTGCCACCCAAGGGGCCCGGCCCAGCCCCGGTGTGAGCCCAGGGCTGGGCTCAGGCAGAGCATTCAACGAGCAGGCGGAGACCGCGCTGCCACGCAAAGGCTGGCTGGCTCTGGCGGGGGCTGCGAATCCCGGAGGGCCCGGGAAGGGCTCAGAAGGTGGGGGTCAGACCCACAGACCCCCCCCGGCGCCATTGGCAGGGCGCTCAGTCCCCCGGGAAGTCGATGGGAGTAGCCGGTGCTCTGCACAGCTGACAGGCACTGTAGAGGTAAGTGGCTATGTGACTTGCCCATGGCCCCCGAGGGAATCAGTGTCAGAGCCAAGAGCCGGCTCCGAGAGCCCCTGGGTCCCAGCCCTGCGCTCAGACCACGGGATCCCGGCTCCGTCCGGCTGCACGGCTCCGTCCCTCACCTCCACAGCCGAATCCAGCAGCAGCAGGACGCAGCTAAGCTCAGCACCGGGCAGGGTGACACCGCCATGCGTCCCCGGAGCCCAGGCCCGCCCCACTGGGCCAATACAGACCCACACGGACCAGATGGGTTTGCGTCCCCAGCCCCTGTTCTGACACGGGCTGCGGGCGTCCGGGGACCGGGCCAGTTCACCCACCTTCTTCTCGATGCTGGACAGGAAGTCCTTCAGGACAGACAGCTTCAGCACCAGGTTCTCCAGCTCCTGCTCTCCTGTCTGGCCGGCGGTCTGCAGCCGCGAGAGGGATCAAAGCAGAGAACACTTAGACGGCGCAGCAGCCTGGCAGCCCCCGCCAAACCCACCACACGCAGCCAGGGTGCGGGATCAGGGGTGTGTAGGCCGGAGGGGCTCCCCCATCCCCACAAAGAGGGCTCGGTTTGTTCTCCCGACTTAATGCTGCTGCGTCCCCCTTCATAGGAGCGGGTCCCAAACAGGGAATCAGGGTCCGGGTCCCCTTTTTGGAGATGGGGAAACTGAGGCACAGAGCCGCAGGCCACGTTGCCGATCAGCAGCAGAGCGAGGACAGAACTCAGGTGCCCAGACCCCCAGCCCCATGCCCGGCTCCCTTCCCTCGGGCTCTGGGAACTGATGTGTTTGGGGCTAGTGGGGAACAGGAAAAGACTCGGTGAGGCCTCAGAGCGAGCTGGTGCCGGCCAGGCCGGCGGCAAAGGGACAAGACGCTCTGGGTTGTCCACCCCCGCCACCACTCCCCGGGGATGCACACTGCCTCCTCCGAGCCAGGTTCTCCAGCTGCCGGAACAGAGCATGCTGGGAGGAGAGGGTGGAGCCCGGCCAACGTATCCAGGACCACAGGGCACCCGCCTGCAGGGGACACCAGGTGGCCAGTCCCCCAGCTGGTATCATAAGGGGCGAAGGGTGACCGAGTCTAGACCCAGAGTGTCAGGGATGGCAGGCGGGCTGTGACCCCCACCCCCAGGGCACGCCAGAGACGGGACACCGTCTCCCACAGCAGCAGCTGCTCTGATGGCCAGACGGTGGCGCCCCACAGCCCCGCCCCACCCAGCTCAGCCTGCTATCGCGTGTGGGTCCCCAGCTCACGGGTTATCTCAGCTGCTACGGGGAAGAAAGACCCAGCCCCCAGATCTCGGGGGGGAGGATGGGCCTTCACCTGGCAGGTCCCCCACAGCAAGGCCCATGGGGAGGGGCGGCAGGCATTGAGAAGACACAGGGCAGATATAAGGCTGGGGAAGGGGTCCTAAGTCCCAGCGGGGTGGGGTATTGGCCCCCTGCGGCACCCCGCAGCCACTACTCCCCACCCCCAACCTTACCTGCTGGAGGATCCGGGAGACCACAGGCGAACTCTGCTGGTCGAACACCTTGGAGAGGATCTCCAGCCCGGACAGGACCTTGTCCACCTCGCTGCAAGGCAGAGATGCAGACGGACGTCAGCCAGCCAGCCAGCCAGCCAGCCCTGGGACGGGGAAGCCCCTTGGCACCCCCGCCCCAGCCTGTGGCAGGTCAGAGCCAGCCGCACCAGGGGCCAGCGCGGGTTTGACAGGCGCCCGGGAAGCGGCGCCGGCAGCTTCACCCCCACCCCGGGATGAATTCTGAGCAGGGTTAAGGGGGAGAATGAAGTTCCTGCAGCCGAGCGCTGACGGGACTGGCAGTGGGATTGGATTTAGGGCCCCCGTCCTCCAATCCCCCCAAGGGCCTGCCCCACACCCCACCACTACAGCAGGAACCCCAGAGGGGCGCTGCTGTCCCATGCTGGCCAGGGGCCTGCAGATGCAGCAGGGAACAGGCGCCATGGGGCCAGCCCCTGTTGGGCAAGGAGATGCCCACAGCGCCCTGCCTGCCTGCCTCCTAGTGGTAGCTCCCAGCCACAGCACCCCGTGGCAGAGAGAGCCCTGGAGAGGTGGGGATCAGCAGCCAAGATGCAGCCTGAGCCACTGGGGGGCGCCAGGCTCCAGGTCAGGCTCTTACCTGTGTAGCCTTTTGCAGGAGGTGACCAGGGTCTTGTTGAGATGGGGCAGGCTGCTGGCCCCGGCTTTGACAGCCTCCAGGTCCAGGGTGTAGCTGCCCTTCAGGTACTCGTGGGAGACCGTGCTGAGGCCGTTGGTGGCACTGCAGGGGGCGCGGAAAGGTTAGCAACCGGGCGCCGAGCACCGGAAACGCCCGCTGCATCCCAGGCTGTCCACTGGGGCACGAGAGCGAACGCCCGTGGGAGGGCTGAGTTCCGGCGACAGTAGGTCCCAGGAGAGAGCACTTCCATGTGACCCCCCTGTCTGGAGGGGGGCATCGCTCCAGGGGTGGGGGCGCCCAGGAGAGAGTGGGAACGGACAGGGGGCAAAGGCGCATGGGTGTAATTGAGGGTGATCGTGCACGTGCAAGCCCAAGTGTGCAAAGGTGTATGTGCATTAGCAAGTGTATGCACGGTGGGGAAGACAGCCCAAGCGTGCGAGTGCAGCAAAGCGGGAGTGGGTGTGCAAAGGGGGGAGGCAGTGGGGTGCATCTGGGGAGCGTCAGAAGGGACAGATTCTTTCCATTCCAGCCTGCTCCACCCGGAGCCACCTCCCCAGCCGGGGGGTCGGACTAGCCCAGCTGTCCGAAAACCGAGTAAGGAAAGCCAGCCTGCCTCAGGACGCGACTCGAGGCATGGGCTGGATGGGTCTCAGACTGGTAGGTGGAGGACAAAATCACCAAATCTTTGCTCTCACTGGCTCCCTGCTCCGGGGAGATCAAGGACAGAGCGGGGGGAAGGGGACTTGTGGATCAGGAGCGAGGGGCACAGGGGCAGAGATGGGGGCTGCGGGTCAGGAGCGAGGGGCACGGGGGGG